GGAGGAGGAGGAGGAGAGGAAGCTTCATCCATTTTTTATAAGGTTAATATTTGTGCTGTGAACAGTCTGGTTCCTTCTTAGATAATTCACTCTAAATCCAGGTTACAGTACAGAACTCATATCCCCTCTTCACAATTGCCTTTGAGATTCAAGCATAATCTGTCAGTAGAATTAGACAGAGAAGCAACACTAGAGATGAAATGAGAAAAAAAGACTACCTTGAGTGGAAGGAGGGGAATACAGAGGACAGAAATTTAATGGTGGGAGAACATGGAAGAAGGGGAGAAAAGGAAAGTTTCAAGAGTCAGAGAGGGAGGTTACACAGAGTTCCCAGGTACTAAGGCTCAAAGCTTTGCATGCACCAAAGTGGCTGCAAATGGATTGTTGAGGACAGAAATCGCTCTAGAATTCCTCTGTCCTGGATTAGAATAAGCCGCTAAAACCCAAAGTAAACAATGTATGTGTATAGTTTGACTAATATCAATTCCATTTACTTCTCAGTGACATCTTAGTTTTCTGGGCTGCCATAACAAAATTCCACAGCCTGGGTGGTTTAAATAACAAACATATCTTTTCTTGCAGTTCTAGACTAAAAGTTTCAGATCAGAGTGTCAGCAGGGTTGATTTCTTCTGAGACCTCCTTCCTTGGTTTTCTTTCATCTATGTTTCAATCTCTTTTTTTTTTTCCATTAAGTTTATTGGTACCTTTAAAGCAAATAATACAGTTACATTATCATTGGGGTATTGTACCTTTACGTGATATATCTTGGTTCTTGTTTTTTCCCCATGCCTCTGCCTCCTCTTTACCCCCTTCACCCTTCCCTATTTCAATCTCTTTATAAAATCATCAGTCATATCAGATTAGGCCCAATCAAATAACCTCATTTCACCTTAATCACTCTCTAAAGGCATGGTCTCTAAACAAAGTCACATTCTGAAGAATTAAGAGAGTTTCGACAAATGAATTCTGGTGGCAGACACAATTCCACCTGTAACAGACAGTAATACCTTTTCTTTTGAAAACAAGGGTAATAGTACTCCATTTATGTATGTGAATTGCCTGGTACTCTGCATTTCCAATAAAAGTAACTGATACTGTTCTGTTGTTTATCACACCAGGTGTGCAAATTCTCTGAAGCTAGTATGTATGTATGCATTTCTGAGTACTAGGGATTGAACCCAGGACCTTTGCACTGAGATATGTCCCCAACCTGTTCTTGTTTTGGCTTTGCTGTTTTGTTTTGCTGTTTTTCAAGGCAGGGTCTCACTGTGTAGTTCACGCTGGTCTTGAACTCATTATGTAGCCCAGACTGGCTTTGAAGTCTAGGTGATCCCCTTGCCACAGCCTCCTGAGTGCTGGGATCACAGTATGCACTACAACCCATAGCTCCCAATCTTTTTTTTTTTTTTTTT